ATTTTATTTTTATATTTGTTTGTTTTTTTGTTGTAAGGGTTTCTTTGGTTTGTTTGTTTTCCTTTTCTATTTCTGTTATCTTTCGGGGTATTGTAAATACTGAACAGCAAACTACTTTATGTTCAATGTTTTGTTATTAACATGCTGCTGTGACTGAAAATAAAATTTAAAAAAAAAAAAATAATTTTAAAAACATTTTTTATCTAAAAAAAAAAACAAAAAAAAAAAACAGGAGAAATAAAAACTGACATTTACCTGTGTGATTGGTGTCTTTAACATGGGTAATGCTCCTGAGCCATTCACTATCTGGATTGCTGAGGGAAGTGTGACCTTAGTTGTTCCATTGTGGACAATCGTAGGAACATGGGCGACTGTTACTGAGGCAGTTTCTTTTCTCTCAGTCTCTCTAGATGCAGAGATAGTGTGTCGGTCTGAGGACGCCTCATCTGAGATTGGGTGAGACACCACAATCCGTTTAGGCTCCGATTTGCCCTTCAGCATCCGCATAATTGGGGTTTTAGTGATAGAAATCTCACTGTCCTTCCCGCTCTCTGGCCCAGCCACCAGATGTTGCTCCACAACCAGCCTCCTGTCTCTCTTTCTCAGCCGCAGAGTGGTGTTCAATGTGCTGGGGTGAACCCTGGCGTTGTGTAATGCTAGGCCCTCAAACTTGGGTGCTGAAACCCCACAGCTGACACAAAAGAAGCTGGGGTCAGCACGGAAGTCTGGGTGCCCGGAGTAGACGTGATCCAAAAATAAGTTAAGGTCATGCGTTTCGAAATTACAAGGCTTACATGTGTAACTGCCTGCACCATCTTTGACTGCATCCCCCGCCTCTGGTTTGGAAGACTCTCCAGGGTCTAAGGGGCTCTGTGTGTCACTGCCAGAAACCCTTGGCTGACGGAGAGCAGGAGAGTCCTGCTCAACCTCCTCTAAGGGGCGAATAATCTTGCTAGGTATCATACAGGGAGTGGACGACTTCCTTTTGCTGGCCATGGTGTGAAAAAAAATGGGGCTGGGGGTGGGAGGAGTGGTCAAATGGCTGAGAGTGAGGTGTGAAAAAGAATATGGGTTTCTCGTTGACTATAGACCAGGCATGGGGGAAGGGGGGTGGCGGGTCTTGTCCGTGGGTCCACTTGTGGTTATCACTTGAGTTTTTCGGGAAATCCTGCAAAAAGAGAGTGAAACACTGATTAGTTTGTCAATCACCAGCCAACAGTTTAGTCAAGTGGTTTGGTGAGTTACAAACACACAAAAAAGAGAAAATTTACATTTTAAGTGCAAATGAGTTGGGCGACTGAGAACAAATGAAAAATCTTACTCAGCGCAGCAAAACCCAGGTCCATCTCAGCGGAGGAAAACACATCATTGCTGACGTCGTTTCCAGGTAAAATGTCAACAGCACAGGTAATAAAGAACACCTCGTGGAAAGATTGAGCTCAAGCGCTTTAAAATCCACAGATCTTGCTGCTCAAAACCTCTGATCAGAGAAACCCAGGGCTGTCTCTCTTATGAAGGCCTACACACAAGCTCACTCTGCATCTTCACTGATGGCTTGTAGAGAGAGCTCCTGTCCTACCCCCTTCTTTCCCCTCCCCCCACACAACTCAGTCTCACTTCCCCTCTTTCAGACACACCCCCAACAGAGAGGGCACATTCTGTATTTTTTATTTTTTTTAAATCCAGGGCCTCTGTAGTTTAACTGAATATCTTTATTTAAATTCCTACAGCAATATAGTGCACGTAACATCTGGGCAGTTGAGCAGTTCAGATGAACAGATGTTCTGCGGGAAAATGGCTCCATCCTAACAATGGTACACATTGTACAGACAGGAATCACACCTATATAAGAATTCAAATCTTAAAACCTTCACAACACCTCTTAGATTCTTTGTCTCCATTAAGAAAAAAAAGATTCCTATTGGAAGACTTTTCCCTCTCCTTCCTTCCTTCGCACAGAGAGGTAGTGATGCAGTTCTAGAGGACAGCTCTAGGGCAATTACTCTCCCAGTCACTCTGCCCTGACATGACACCTCATGCGCAGAGCAGCAAAAGCTCAACAAAGTTCAGCGGCTTAGAAAGACACAACAGGAAAATGCTTAAAATCTCACCCAGTCCAGCCCAGATACTTCACCAACACATCCAGTTTTCACATTTCAGCGCTCAAAAGCTTAAACCCTTTCGTGCATGCAAGCAGAACAATTCCATGCTCATATTAAACTTGGCTGTGGGTGAGGGGGTGGTATACCTTCAGATGCTTAGCCTCATTGTGCACAAGGCTGTTCACTTATGACAAGGTGAGCAGCAAGCTCGATGTCTCCATTCGACAAATCCGCTAATGATGAATGTCCTATTTCTAAAAGTGCCCACAGACACATTAGCAGATCTTCGATTTGCCATAGAAAAGATCACAGTACACTAATTCAAAACCCAGTTAACGGACGAGGGCTCCAACTGTGACCGAGCACAGGTATGCAGAGTTGACTCTCCTGCACTCAGAAGCCTACGACAACCCAGACAGAGGCGGTAAAAGCAGGTTAAAGTTCCCATCATCTGCTGTCTGCCTTAGTACTGCTAATAGTAAAATGTTTTCTGAGCAGTCTGTGAAAACATTGCTGGACTCAAAATAAATTGTATCTTCTTTGTTTATTGTATTTTATTTTTTTGAACAGTAAGACTGGTCCCCTCTCTTTGGATCTGAATGTGAGGGGTTAACAGGCAAATTAAGTTTGCTACTGTGGAAGGAACGTGATGCCCCTTGTCCCCCACCCCACCCCGCGTGCACCAACTTGGGCTGTCGTGCACCCCTTCGACTCCCCCTGCCATTGAGTTCTGCATCAGGGGGCACCACTCTGCCAAGGCTGGCTGGTCACATGACCGACACAAAGGCTTATGGGTGGGCAGTCTCAACCATCAATCACGTGGTTCTGCTGGGTGCGGATGGCAGGCGAGAGGAGAGGGACAGCGAATGGGAAAGGACGGTGGGGGATGGGCGAGTCGGTATGGGGTGAGGAGAGTTGTTAACTATCGTTGAGGAAGCACTGAGGTGTTTCAGTGAGGAATTTTCCTACCCGATACCCCCCTCCAACTAGCCTGCCCAACCCTGCCTTCCCCCGCGCTTCAAAGCCCCCTTCTAGCTCCAAACTACAATCACAGTCCTTCCCTCTCCTCCCTCCCTGCTGCACTGCAAAAGCCCAGAACATTCAGCCACCGGACATAACCTGGAGTCCCGCTTCAGCGCCTGCATGCGGCGTGCACACCCGTGCAGTCAGCAGGCATGTGCAAAATAATCACTAACACTAAGACACCCAGCAAAACACAATGTCAGAGCTGCTAAGTATGTAATCCTATTTCCACGACTGATCAAAAGCTGCAAACACTGACTGACAGACAGCAACTACCAACTTTACACATCACACTGTGATGGGCCTGTGAAAAATCAAAAACCACATCTGTGTGAACACAACTCCAGATAAGCCCTGGGCCTCAGCGAATGCGAAAGCAACCAGCAGAGACGCAGAGGCCTCTCGCACTCTCTTTCACACACACATACAGCCGCACACAGGTGAGCATCAAAACAGCACAAGCCCGAGCTATAATTGGCGAGTCGAAATGGGCAGCTCATGCCAGGATCAGATGAGCTCTCTGTTGACTCATGGGTGTGAGCGCATCAGCTGAAAACTTTTCATTTGAATGCCGCACATGAGTTGACTGACCATGCACGGGACGGTGGGTTTGTGTCTGTTATATGTGTGTGTCAGCATTTGCATGTGTTGGTTTCCTGTGAGATTGAGAGTAGAGGGGGTGGGGGGTAGGAGTGGGGTGCGTGTGAGCTCTTGGTGAGTGTGTGTGTGGGGGAGGCTGGCTGCATGCCTCTGTGTGAGGCTTGTTTACCGAGGTAGTCAGGCTGCAATTTTTCCTGTGTGTGTGAGTCCGAGAGCTCTCCCAGTGACACACAAAGACATTATTTTTGACCTCATGGTTCATAACCTATATTATTCTATGTGTCATCATTGGCTCAGCAAGGCGTGACCTCCTTTCATCCCGTGGCCTGACTCTCATCTAGGCTGGGGATGGATCCTCTGAGCACAGACCAATAATAGCTCTCTCTCGCACGCACACCTTTGTATAGCTTCACACAAACTAAACTAGTCGTCTCGTCACCTCGCTGAGAATGCAGGTGTAACACTGATGTGTGCTTGTGCGTGAAACAAATGTTCTCCCAGTAGGATGACGAAAAGGTGTACAGCACAGGCAGCTTTCTCCTAGTTTCCTCGCTCTTCCTCGTCTTCTTCACCCTCACTCCCCCTCCCTTTCTCCAACAGCCTCTGCACCCTCTGCTTCCCCTCCCTCCGCTTCCTCCTCTCAGAGCAAGTTTGGCCCAGGGAGACAGGTCGGCAGCGCCACTGGTGTGTTACTGTCCCCATGGCAACCACCTCCTACCCCCTCTTTCTCTCTCCTACCAGCTCATTTCGCTGAAGTACACGCATGTGGGTAAACACGCACACGTCTCCTATGCCATCCAGTCTCTGGCTCTAGCGGGGCTTGTTTGTTCCACACGCCCCTGTCAGTGGTATTTGGAGAGTCCCTGCCCTGCTCCTATTTCAGTGCCTCCCTCACACGGTGTTCATGTCTCCCTGCTAGGTGTGGTCGCCGTCGCCAAGGCACATTACTCTCCAAAGCTGATGGCGTCTCTTCCTGTTAACTCAGTGTCTGTGAGTCTTGGTTCAGGCATCTGCCCGGGCTACTGCTCTGGGGCTCCTGTGTTTTGGCCTACAGGGCCCTAAAGTCACGCAGGGCTCCTGTAGTCACTGTAGGCAATGCAGCCATGAGCGCATAAACAGGCCTGGCCTATCTGCCTGATGCTATCCTTTCAGGAGATGACAACCTCTCACCCCTGTGCGTTTTCCCCAAGCCCACCCTCAAAAAAAAAATTAAAAAAAAATCCAACGCCGTGTTTTGTTCTGCCTCAAAACAAACAAACAAACAAAAAAAACCCGCCTTAAGCTGCTAACCTTCTCTCATCAATCATTTTCAGGGTCTTGTTCGCTCATACACCCCTGCTCTCGAACAACCCACCACTAGAAATGCTCACAGGTTCTCTGCAGCCCAACTTCTTTCCACTCCCTCTTCGGCTCGCACACAATGCAGGCAACAATCAGAGCGCCTCTGAGCCTCAGTGACAGCGCAGTGTCATTTTCATGTGATCCTGAGTCTCAGGTCAAGGGAGCGTGTGGCTGTGTGGGTTGTGCATGGCCGCATTGCTGTGGCCGCTGCCGGTGCATGCGTTAAAATTGGGTTGCTGAGAGGGGAGGGAGAGAAAAATGGCGGAGCACCATGCCTCTGTGCTGTCCAACCTAAAATGGCTGACATCACAAGCTGTTAACCAGCCAAGCAGAGCCAAGAGGCTGCTGCCGCTGCTGACCCAGACCTGCTCGCCGTGGCTGTGCGAGTGGCTTGCTCTGCTCTTCCCCAAGAATGTGCAAAGGCTCTTCAGTAGCAGATGAATCCTGTTTTTGATTTTTTTTGTGTGGCCATACTTGGTAGAGATCTGTAAATAAACTGTCTTACATGGGTCTGCAGGCACAGATGTGATGAAAGTCATTACCTACAGACTGACACACTCCAAGAATTGTTCAGCTTTATTAAATCATCAGCACAAATTTAATACTTAACAAGGGTTGCCAGTAAAGCATTTAAAAAGTTGTCTAAAATATGCAAAGGCACCATGGATTTTAATAAGCGACGTACTGATTAATCCTTCCACACAAAGCCACTCAACCTGTGTCAGCTACTAACCTAAATCTGAGGAAGAGAAAGGGAGGAGAAAGGAGGGAGGGAAACAGGGCCCAGGAGGTGGAGGTGGTAGTGATGATGATGGCAGAAGAGGGGGGTAGAGTGTACTATTGACTGAAATCTACAGCCATCAGCACACCAGCACAAAGAAATACAGCAAGATAGTAACAACAATAACAATACTAATCATCACCTACAGCTCCCCTCACAGCTGATCCACGTGTGATCTGAGCAGCAGTGTGGAAAACCTGGCCTGTTTCTAAAAGTGTAAAAAGGTGAGCTGGATTAAGCTAAGTGTCCGTGCCTGGGACTCACGTGGACGTCAAATTAGCGGTGTGGGAAATCTTTGCTCTAATCCCTGCAGTCAAACTCACTCATGACAACAGTGAAATAACAAATAAGACAAGTGGCTGCTAGAGAACAACAACAACAAACCCAGCTGGTGGAAGAAAAAAAAGGTGTGATTTTCATTTAAAACCAAGGTCCACACACATAGATTTTTCAAGCTAAATTTAAAAAAAATAAATTAAATAGATGGTAGATGTATGATGGAAGTGATTGGGACTTTTAAAAATGACTCCCAAACTTCTTCATTCATAGCACGGATTGACGGATTGGAAGAAATTTTGGAAATTCAGCGCATTGTTTTAGGACATATTACAGGATTTTTTCCGGGTAGGTGGGTGGGGGCTACAGTGCACCCTGACAACATCTAATTGGCGCTAATTTGCTGATTAATCGGCGATATTCCGCGAAAATAGGAGGTACAATAAGAGTCTGCGCTGCAATGTTTCGGTCCCTGAGCGCAGCAGCGTCAGATATTTCCGAAAAATGATGCGTGTTCATCTTCCGCTCAAGTTAGGCGGAGTGAGCCCCAACTTAAAGGGCTTGTCTGCATTATAGGTTTGAACACTACGACCAATTCATACCGGAGAGAGAGAGGAAAAAAGGTAAGCCGTGCCCCCCTCCAAGCTTTTAAAAAAACTACTCTCTCTACCACCCCCCCAGGTTGGCTGTCGCCATTTTAAGCAGGCGACATGCAGCTGGCCAGCGCCGCTGAGCCACAAGCCCGTAAAGGTAAGACAGCTCGCGCACAAGTTTAGGAAAGGTGAACACTTAAGTAAATGCGTATCAGTGAAGCACACTCACCTCGCTTTGTCGGAGCTCAGCGTATGCATCGCAGGTATTAAAAAGTTTACACTGGTGCGGGTTCAGTGGAGCCAGACACGGACGGGGTCGGCTTTGGGCTTCTCTGATGGTAACTTATAGGTGTAAGGACCCCTCTGACAATCGGCCGCTGATAATAATAAACGTGACTGGAGCCGGACCGGTCCCCCCCTCCCTCTCACAACAACAACGGCCCCTCTCTTATTTTTTGCGCTTGTTTATTTCGAGTGGCTCTGTGTTACAGCAGGCAGTGAAAGGGGAGGAAAATACGACGGACGTACCGAGGGAAGAGGCAGACACGTGACGCCGACGTCACTGACGGTGGAATTGGCGTGAGAGCTCGAGCTCCGCCGAGCACAGAGTATGAAGTGACTCACGTATCCCGTACTGACTTTGACCCCCTACGCCCCCCTTCTCACCCAGCAACACCATCACCCCACCCCACCCCACCCCATCCCATCCTATCTACAAAGGTGGGGGTCCGTGTTTGAGGTTTTGAAAGGGTCACAACACCGTTAACCGTGCACGGTAACGGTTACAACACATCACACCTGTCCCCCCTCCCTCCTCCCCCAGGTGGGCTAGCCGCTCTTAAAGAGATAGAGCCAAACGGGTGCATGGCAAAAGGTTAATAAAGACGCACAATAAATATGAATCTGCTATTAAAGCTCCATTCAAACATATTAAACACCCACTACAGTTAGACGTGTTTTAGTCCACGTGACCTTTTAGCTGTAATTACGCAAATCTCAGTTTACATAGTCTGCAATTTATGGATTTCACTGAGCGGGCAGTTATCTGTGCTGTGAGAGTGTCGAGCTTTGAAGCTGAGTGGACAAATATTTAAATTTGCCGGGTGACCACTCAAATGACAGTTTATTAAGTACAGGTGAGGTAAAAGCTAATTTCTTTTCGTCAGGCTACTGTATAGTCTTCCTTTGTTCACAACAATGACTATAATAATAATGACTTTGACTTTGCCATCAGCTTTGACTTTAATAATAAAGTTTAATAATAATAACTCTTTATGGCTTTAAAAAAAGAGTCAAAATAAACAAAAGTATATAAATAAACAGAAAGGCTAGAAAGGAGGCTTTGGTGAAGTGATGAGGTGCTGCAAAGCATACTGAAGGCTCTGTTCCCATAGGTTTGGAGGTTGGTGCAAGGGATTGAAAACATTTGTTATATAAAAGGACAGAAATCAGCATATCCTCTACATTGGTGTTACAATTCAACTGCAACATAAACCACATCCTCAGCTGGCCCAGCACTTGAGGCCGCTTTAAAAGAATTTAGTTTTGCTGCCTGTTGCATTGTAACGGGTATTTTGTTAAACCTGAGAGCTTTCCATGCACGTTGGTGAACTCACATCACAAATCCCTAAAGTGACTAAAGTACAAAGACAAGCAAAACCCAGCAAAGTCAGAAATGCTCACAAAATGGACCACGGTGCAAAGCCAGTCGGCAAAAAGCAGCTGCATGGGAGTATCACTTTAAAGACATTCGTGTAAACTCATTTGTAGCTGATAAAGCAGATAAAACACATCATATAGTATTCTAGTGTTACTGATTTTCCATTGGGCCCTGTTTGTTATATGTATGTTCAGTTAGCTTCAAATTAAACACAATGACACATCCTCCACATCTTTCTGAATGAGTCACTGTTCGGTGGGTCAACTTAAAAGAGTCAAAGTGAAATTCTCTTAATGATTTTCAATAGTGCAACAAATAAACTGTAGCTAACAGTAGAGACCCATTAATAATATATTGGAGTCACTAGTCAGACACATTAATCAATTATTTTGCCAAACTGCTTTATTTGCAGTGACTACATTAGTTGTTCAGCTGACATACGTATAGAGGAGATGTTTAGGAGAGAGGGCAGTGCACTTGTTGACCACATTGTTTAACACAATCTTGGAGTGTGAGAGGATGCCTGAGTGCGTGAGAAGACGTGTGATGAGACAGATTTTCAAGAATAAGGGTGATGTGCAGAGCTGTAGTAACTACAGAGCTGATGAGCCACAACATGAAGAAATGGTAAAGAGTTGCTGAAGCTAGGTTAAGAAGGTGATCAGTGAGCAGCAGTATGGTTTCATGCTGAGAAAGAGCTCCACAAGTACAATGCTTGCTTTGAGAGTGCTGGTGGGGAAGTACAGAGAAGGTCAGAAGGAGCTGCACCACCTTTGTGAATGTAGACAAAACATAAGATAGGGTGCTGAGAGAGGGGCTGTGGTACTGAACGAGGGAGTCAGAACTGGCTGAGAAATACGTGAGGGTGGTGCAGCACATGTATGGGGACAGTGAGACACTGCTATAATGTTCACAGACAACATTGTGATCTGTAGCGAGAGTAAGGAGCAGGTGGAGGAGAACCTAGAGAGGTGGAGGTATGCTCTGGAAAAAAGAGGAATGAAATTCAAACAAGATAGAATACTTATGCTAATGAGATAAAGGTGGGTGTAACAGTAATGATGCAAGAATCAGAGGTAGTGAAAGTGAATGAGTTTAAATACAACCACCCAAACTAATACACAGTGCATTGGAGAGGTGAAGAAGAGAGTGAAGGCAAGGTGGAGTGGGTGGAGACAAGACTAGGGGTGATTTGTGACAGAAGGTTTGCCGCAAGAGTGAAAGAGAAGGTTTACAGTATGTTAGTGAGACCTGTTTTGGTGTAGGTTTGAAGATAGTGGCACTGAAGAAGGCAGGAAGAAGAGATGGAGGTGGCAGAGTTGAAGATGCTATGATTTACACTGGGAGTGAGAAGAGAATGGGGTTGGACATGATGAATATGTCAGAGGGACAGCTCAGGTTGAGCTGTTCGGAGACAAAGTTGGAGAAGGCTTGGACATTTCCTGATTAGAAAGAGTGGATATAGGATGCAGGATGTGGAGTTCCAGGCTAGAAGAAAAGAGTAAGACCACAAAGAAGATTTGTGGGTGTTGCCTAAGGACGGTAGAGATAAGGTGAAATGCAGGCGAAAGGAGCAGCCAAAAGGACAAGAAGAAGAATAAACAATTTTACACTGATTAATTGATTAATTGAATAAGTCAGTTTAGGTTAAACAATCACGATTACTGTAGTTATCATGGCATACGTTGGGGTTGCTATGAGATATGACTTGAACTCAATGGGGTGAAGCTCAATCAAAACAAATGAAGCCCTCTGCTGGACAGTGTAGAGAAGTACCTCTATGACTGTCAGAGCAGCCAGTGAGAGAAGTAAGCAAGCATCCATTCATCAATTTGTCAGCTAAAAAACTCATATTACATCAGTTATTACAGTTAAGTCACACATTATTCCTGTGATTTCATTTTTTAATCTAAACATATAAATCTTGCAGCCTGCTTGCGGTAAATGCTATTTTAGGAAATCTCTGCATAGGCTATATATAACTATGGATGCCAAACTTTTTATCTAACGACCATTTTTATGATGTATTATTTATATAACAAGCTGGTGCTAGATAAGAAAAAATCCAGGATTTCACATGAAAAAAAAAAGACCAAAAACCCCCTCTTGTAATTATTTTGATACCTTGGAGAAGTCCTGACACAGCATGCAGGGAAACACCTTTCTCTGTTTTTATACATGCTCACATCCACTGAAGCGCTTTTGATGTTTTCTCACCACAAGACATGCAGAACACTGTCCTTATTACTATCCCTTAGTTTTGAAATATACTTCAGAGCTGCCACAGTTCTTCAGCAAACAAGAAAAAGCAGCGGTCTCACAGACCAAATGAAAGGTTGGCTTATTGAGATCAACAGATCAGTTGATTAGTCATTAGGTGCAGCTCCATGAGCTAACATGTGCTATTTGTGGAAGTCTCTGATGTGGAGATCTCTGAATAATCATAGGATTAAGGAAAATAGCCATGGAACCTTTTTTATGCAGCTTACATAAAAAGACACCTTTTTAGTCTTTATAGCTGCATGCCAGTAATTTATATACTCTGAATTTTTTGACTTTTTGTAAACATTACAACAGTGATTTTCAAGGAGGCGTATTGGTACTCTAGGGGCACTTCTGCAGTTTCAAAGATCCAGCCACCCATTTTCTTCTGCGTATCTGAAGTATCCTACACAGGATATTCCAGGCATCCTTTTCCTCAGCCACAATTTTCCATTCCTCCTGGTGGCTTCCAAGGCTTTCTCAGGTCAGACGAGGACTATAATCTCTCTGGGGCAATCGTGGCTCAAGAGTTGGCAGTTCATCTTGTAATCGGAAGGTTGCCAGTCGCCCAGCTCCGACAGTCTCGGACAGTTGTGTCTTTGGGCAAGACAGTTCACCCGTTGCCTACTGGTGGTGGTCAGAGGGCCTGGTGGCACCAGTGTCCGGCAGCCTCGCCTCTGTCAGTGCG